GGCGCCACCGGTCCCTCCGACCACCACCAGCAGGCAAGGTGGGTTAAGTGTCTTGCCCAAGGACACAACGACAGCGACAGACTGAGAGGGGCTCGAACCTGCAACCTTCCGATTCCGGGGCGAGCGCTTAACTCCTGTGCCACCGTCGCCCATACTCCCGCCGGGGCAGCTCTGGCCTCTGGTTACTCCGGTGTTCCTGTGACATCCTACACTAATCTCCTCTGTGCTCACCCAGGTTTGTACTACCATCATATCTACCTCAGACCCTGTCTCCTGGACTTCATCTGGAGCTCCACGCCGCACTGCACTTCCCCTGGCCGCCCGCTCTCAGCCGCTCTTCCTGTGCCTCATGCTCATTTCCCTCCTGGATTCCCCGGATCAGCTGGATTTCCCCAGCTCACTCGGACCTTACGATCCCCCCTCTCTCATTGTGGAAACCGTAAGCAACCATCCAACTAACCACCATTCCCAAACCCCCCATCCTCCGAGACGGACTCTTCTCTGTTATATAGAGACTCGGTGGACCAGCCAGTTGATGCAGCGCTCTTTGTTCCCCTTATCTAAATAAACAACTTTGTTTTATCTTACTTGGTCTCCTGTGTTGGTCTGCATGCCGTGAGTCCAAAAACTACCTGGTACCATGGTGATTAGTCAGACTTGCCCATCAGAACATTAAAGTCATTTCTGTAGAATATCTGAGTGATGGAGACAGAGCTTGTCCAGTACTCTGCTTGCGAGTACTCCTGACGGGTCGGTACTTGTTCAGCACCCGTAAGAGCAACAACGTTCATAAACAGCGTAACCGTGTTCATTTGTTCAGCTGAAGGCCGCTCCACATGGTGTTCTGACCCACTTTAACTCGTTCACTGCCAATATGACTAAAGTCGTCATTTGCATTTTTTTTACTGTGTGGGCGTCGGACGAGCCCCCACACCGTGAGAACAAACATCTCAGCTCTAAAGCCGATCTTCATCCGCGTACGTCACACGTCACGTGATCAGGAAGCAGAACATCCATGTGTGAGGAGATCGTTTTGGGCCGCTGCTGTAAAAAAAAGTGAGGCGCGAACCGGAAAAGCTTCTGCCGATCACAATTCAACAACGGATTATGAAAGAACGGATAACGCTGGAAACGCGCGGATTCTTCCTGATGTAAGAGGTGAGTCTCCTCTTTGTTTTGGTTGTTTTGGCGTCGACATCATCCTAGCGCGCAGCGTTCTGTCACTCTTAAAAAAACAGTAAAAACGGCGATAAACGCTGGCAGCGAATGAGTTAACTACGTGACTGAAGGAAGATGAAGAACAATTAGCTTTTGGTCTCCCTGCTAGTGTGACATCTTCAGGTTGAGGAGTAACTGAATCAGAGGAAAAGTGAAACAAACTCAAAGATTTTAAAGAGCAACTTCACGGATCAACTGTTTTTTTACTTATTCCATACCATACCAACTTTATTTATAAAGCACATTTAAAAACGGCATGGCAGCCGACCAAAGTGCTGTACAGAATAAAAAGTAAAAACACAATATAAAACAGTACACGGTCAACAATAAAATACACAACAAGGCAGATAATCACAGTCAATAAAAGACACATAATAAAATAATAAAAGTCAGGGATTTTAAAATGCCTGGTCGTAAAAGTGAGCCTTAAGTAGCGACTTGAACCGGAGGAGGGATGGTGCAAGCCTCACTGTAACATGAAACTAGTCTCCTACACCTATCTCCTGCAGTAGCTTCTGATAGAAAACAGACGGAAAAACTCTAGGATTAAAAAAGCCTGACAGATCTACGTCACACTGTCACTAACACTCATGTACTCACCCATCTGGACTCACCACGGGGACGGCTGTCGTTGGTTTAGCGTCAAGGAAACAGCAGGGAACGTCTCAGCTAGCGGAGGGTAACATTAGCATTAGCAACTCCACCACACAGCAGAACTCCTCCAGGCAATCTGCTGGGTTGCTTATACGGGGAAAAGTGGTTGAAAAATATGTAGCCTGACAAGCTACGGCCATGTTACACTCTAACATTACATGAACTGTTTGCTTCATGCGTGGGAGAAGGAGCTGCTGGAGGAGCTGAGATCACGAACCTGCAGTTTGAAAGGTTCAGTCAGGATCCTCGTCCTCTGACAACTGTCGGAACGTTCATCTAACAGAAGATTGTTTTAAATAAATGATCTAATTAACAAAACAAGAGCTGAATTTGTGTGTAATGTGAGGGAAGGCCTGTGAGGAGAACAGACCCCCTGAACATCCGGAGTGTTTTAATCCAGCGGTTTGATGACGGATTCAGGCTGAAGTGAGTTTCTTCAGCTGTCAGAGTGCATTTTAATGGATGTGTAGATCCTCTCTCTGTACAGATGGAAACTCCTCAGCGCACACGTCCTCAGAGGGTGACAGCACAGTCGTCTTGAGCTGCTGCTCATTCAACATGACAGAGCACAGATGGCTGAGTGCAGATCCACACAACAGCAGCAGAGACGGGGAGATTGAGTTATAGAGCCGGCGTCACACTAGATTCTGGTTACAGCGCTCAACGAGCTTCAGGCTGAACATCGCAGAGAGAAACGAGTCTTCTGTGTGAACCATCTACGTTCAGCAAACGGCTCAGGTTGGTGCTCAGAAGTAGACAGATCTGCTCTGAATGCACAGCTGAAGACTGTCGGATCCCAGATGAAGTTCTGAGAGCTTTGACCCGTTCAGTCGGGCTTGAAGACCCAAAAAAGCCCATCTGGAGTTTAGAGAAAAACACCACAAACGACTGTTTTCCTCATTCTGCTCCGCTCCAAAGACAAAACCCACAGCCGAGCTTCTGCAAACCACCAAACTGCCGCGCGGATTCAATCATTTTAATATGAAAAGTGTCTTTAAAAGAATTACAGATAAACGCTGCACCGTTTTCTGATGGTATCTCAGACGCTCCAACAGGCAGAACAAAGGACTTCATTCATCTGAATGATTACTATTCAAATCAGTTTAATCACTCTAATACATTTGTAAAATAAATTAATTTATTCAATTCTGTTATTATTTTGGCACAATATAAAAGATCTTTTTAATGAAGTTAGACAAATATTTAATTAAAAGGATTTTTTTCTGTTTCATGAATAATTTATTTCCTGTTTTCTGTTTGAAGAACAAAGATTTCAGCCGTAATAAAAGAAACACTCCTTAAATAAAACTGCCACACACACACACACACACACACACACACACACACACACAAACATGCATGCATACACACACACACACACACACACACACACACACACACACACACACACACACACACACACACACACACACACACACACACACACACACACACACACACAACATGCATGCACACACACACACACACACACACACACACACACACACACACACACACACACACACACACACACACACACACACAACATGCATGCATGCAAACACACACACACACACACAACATGCATGCATGCACACACACTTGCACGCACGCATTCACACACACAAATGCACACAAACACACACACACACGTACACACACACACACACACACGTAAACACACACACACACGCCAAACACTTACACGCATGGACGCATGCACGCACACACACACGCATGCACGCACACACACACACACACACACACACATACACACACACACACACACACACATGTGTACACACACACAAACACGCTAAACACTTACATGCATGGACGCACGCACAAACACACTGTTTGCTCTGCAACGTTGATGTTTTATCTCCACAAATAAAAGCCTGGAGGAGTTCTGCTGTGTGGTGGAGTTGCTAATGCTAACAGTTAGCGTCTGCTAGCAGAGACGTTCTCTGCTGTTTCCTGGACGCTAAACCAACAACAACCTTCCCCGTTGTGAGCCAAGATGGGTGAGTCCATGAATGTTAAGTGACAGTGTGACGTAGATCTATCAGGCTTTTCTAATCCTAGAGTTTCACCGTCTGTTTTCTATCAGAAGCTACAGCAGGAGATAGGTGTAGGAGACCATTTTCACGTTCAGCCTGCATGAAACACTCAGAGTGACCCGTTAGAATCAGAGATTAAATAAAAAATTGTTTTTCAGTGTTTCACATATTTACCATGAATGATTTACTAACATTCAGACGTTTTTTTTTTTTTGTTTTAGGGGCGACGGTGGCACAGGAGTTAAGTGTGCGCCCCGTAATCAGAAGGTTGCAGGTTCGAGCCCCGAACCCCAAGGTTGCCGTTGTGTCCTTGGGCAAGACACTTAACCCACGTTGCCTGCTGGTGGTGGTCGGAGGGACCGGTGGCGCCAGTGCTCGGCAGCCTCGCCTCTGTCAGTGCGCCCCAGGGCAGCTGTGGCTACATCGTAGTTCATCCCCACCAGTGTGTGAATGGGTGTGTGAATGGGTGAATGACTGATTGTGTTGTAAAGCGCCTTGGGGGGTTCCAGGACTCTAGAAGGCGCTATATCAAATACAGGCCATTTACCATTTACCATTTTTTTCAAATTTGTGATGATTTATTAGAAACGTTTTCCAAATAATTTATCAGACATGAAGATAACAATTATTTTGTCACTGTAGACATTAAAGATGCTAATCTGATGGTCAAATCTGAGCAGCGTAATCCATGACAGGCGGAAATCTTTAACTACAGAGCTGCAGTACGGGGTTGTGAGATTATTTCTGTATCCAGTTACTGCATCTTTACTCAAGCCCAGTGTTTCCCAGCCCTGGTCCTCAGGGCCCACTGTCCTGCATGTTTTCCATGTTGCCCTTTTAACCACCAGTGTATCCCTGCTGCCACACACCTGACCTAAATGAATGAGTGATTAACAGGTATCTGCAGCTCTTGATGTAAACCAGGGAGTACCAGGGTTGAGAAGCACTGCTCTCACCTAAGAGAAACAAATCACTTTCACAAGTTCACCAACCACCAGATCTAATCAGCAAAAAGACCCTTAACAGGAAGTGACTGAAGACAAAAGGTAAAACCTCACGGACACTCACCTAGCCAGGTTGAAGGCATCATCGATGAGTCCTGCTCTGTTCCCGACTGAGATGATCTAAGAGGGAAACAGGAAGTAGACTAGGAGTAAAAATAGTGGATGTCTGGTGGTCCGACAAACAGAGAAACAGACAGTTTTACTTGAGGGTGGGAGTGCAGCTGCTGAATGAGCAGCTTCCAGTTGTGAAGGTCGTAGTTCACACGAAAGTAGCCCGTCTGATTGATGTTGCCTAGTAACCAGGTGTTGTCATCCATCTGACCAATCCCGTGAGTTTCTGAATGAAAACACCAAAACTCTGTCAGTGCTAGCTAAGAAACTGTAAAACTACTATATGGTTTAAAAACTCCTCACATACGCTGACGACACCTTGCTGTTCGCTTGGACTGGAGCTTTGCTAAATTCAGCTGTACTTATGAGTAAGTGATGACATAGTGGATGTGCTGGAGTCTCTGCTCTTCCTCCTCTATCTGCTTCCTCTTCAGCACATCCTGAGCTCCTTCAAAGGAATCTCCTACCATCTTTATGCAGATGACATCTAGCTGTACATCTCCTTTAAGCCCCATGAGATGTCTAAGCTGCAGCTGTTACACACCTGCTTAGACTCCATTAAAACCTGGATGGACCCTCCGTCAGGAATCTTGGCGTGACCTTTGACCCAGCTCTCACCCTGGATTCTCATGTCAGTTCTCTTGTTGGCTCTTCCTTCTTCCATCTCAGGAACATTGCTAAGCTGAGTCCCATTCTGTCTCGCTCTGAACTTGAGACAGTTCTCCACACCTTCATCTCCTCACGCTTAGACTACTGTAACTTTCTTTTCACGTGTCTGAGCAGAACCTCCCTGAACCGTCTACAGGTGGTTCAGAACGCCTGTGCTCGGCTTCTGACCAAGTCCTCCAAACACACCCACATCACCCCGCTTCTCCTCCAGCTTCACTGGCTGCCAGTCAACTTCAGGGTTCATTTCAAGATCCTGGTTCTGGTCTTTAGGGCCTTACATGGACAAGAACCTTCTTACATTGGTGATCTTCTCAGTCCCTACACCCCCAGCAGGTCCCCGAGGTCCAGTGACCAAAGCCTACTGGTTGTGCAGCACCAGGCTAAAGGTCAAAGGTGACAGATCATCTGCTGCTGTGTGCCCCAGACTCTGGACCTCTCTCCCCCTGAGCCTGAGATCAGTGGACTCAGTGGTCTCCTTTAAACTCACCTGTTCAGGTTTGGTGGGACCTTCATCACCTCCCTCTCCTTGTTCTGCTCTTATTTTTCCTTTCATAGGATCCACTGATTTCCCTCTTTCCTGTTCATTTTCTCACTTTCCTTACATTTTTTCTTTTCTCCTTTTAAACATGTTTTGAATCATTTTGGAAATCTTTTTACACTTTCATATTTTGTTGTTTTGTGAAGCGCCTCGTGATTTTTAGCTTGAGAGGCGCTACATAAAGGATCTTCTTCTGAATCATTCTTGTTTGTGATGACAGCGAAGGGTAACCATTCCAGCCAACTGTGGAATCCTTTGGAAATCCTAAATTTTCCCATCCAATGCGGCTTGCTGCACCAGATTTATGACCCATCATACAACAGCTGTTGGACAACCTCATGAGACAAATGTTCTGTCCAGATGAAGAGCCAAGAACCAGATTTTAGAACTCTCAAACCTTGTTTCCAATATAAATACCCCTGGCAGGGTGTCTGGGCTCTCCCTTACAGATAGGGTGAGAAGTTCGGTCATCCGGGAGGGGCTCTGACTAGATCCGCTGCTCCTCCACATCAAGAGGTGCCAGTTGAGGTGGCTCGGGCATCTGGTCAGGATGCCTCCTGGTGAAGTTTTCCAGGTACGTCCAACTGACAGGAGACCAACCTCGGTTCTTGTGGAGTAACAACTGTGAGGAACACTAACAGGAAAGCATGTCTGCAAGTCACCTTAGGTTTTCTCATATCATCCTAAATTTGATTGGTTGAGCGGGTTGTCCAGTAATCGGAAGGTTGCAGGTTCGATCCCGGCTCCGCAGAGAATTCTGCTGTTGTGTCCTTGGGCAAGACACGTAGCCCACCTTGCCTGCTGGTGGTGGTCGGAGGGACCGGTGGCGCCTCTATCAGTGCACTCCAGGGCAGCTGTGGCTCCATCGTAGCTCATCACCATCAGTGTGTGAATGAGTGTGTGAATGGATGAATGATGCACTGTAGTGTAAAGCGCTTTGGAGTCCTGACTCTGAGAGGCGCTATACAAGTGCGGGTCGTTTATCATTTGTGATCACACCTGAGCCCCGCCTGCAGCCTCACCGGCCTAAAGCCGCTCTAGTCCACACCGTTTCAGTTGTTTTGTCTCTAACTCAGGCCATCTCTCTGCTCAGGTACCTGGCGGTGACCCAGTTCAGCCCGATCCACGCCCGCAAGGCCTTCCCCTGCTTCGACGAGCCCGTCTACAAGGCAACGTTCTCCCTGACGCTCCGCCACGACCCACAATACACCTCTCTGTCCAACATGCCGGTGGAGAGCAGCGGGCCGGCGGACGAGGACGGCTGGGTGACCAACCGCTTCGGCCGGACGCCGCGCATGTCCACCTACTACCTGGCCTGGGCCGTCTGCAACTTCACCTACAGGGAGGCGCAGACCGACGGCGGCGTGACGGTCAGTACCAGAACCTCTCGGGTCGTCTGAGCTCCTAGCCACTCTCTGATTCCAGATTATTTAGCATGAAGGAAGGTTTCTGTGACTTTATGTGGAAATCGGCGTGTTTGCGACTCGGCTGGAAACCAAACAGCATGTTGTTGATTCAGCCTTTCATCCCGTCTCTTTGGCGAGGACTCGGTCTCTGGGCGACGTGTTTGTCTCCCGTCTTCCTGATGGGACTCGTGAGAACAACGAAACCATGCTTCACGTCAATCAGTCGTCCTCTGTGGGGTTAAAACGGGGAGTCTGAGCCGCTCTCGGTACCATCAGACAATAACTGACATAATTAAGCTCCCATCAGGAGGAGACGAGTCGGGATGAGTGACAGGTGGAGGGATTACAGCCCGCCGGCTTGTCGGTGTTCTGCAGAATCAGGTTTACATGCTGTATTTAAAAAGGTCAAAGTCTGACCTGAAGTCTGTTGAGCAATGCTGACCTCTGACCTTTGGGGCTGGTGGTGGACTTTTACAGGCCGGTTAATTAGGCGGTTATTTATTACTGTAACCTCCTCCTGTC